GCCCTGATGCCCTGCCCTCCCGCTGAGAGCCGGCCCCGAGGCCCCGCCGCCCCTGAAGCCTCACGCCGCGGCTCCGGCTCTCGCAACCACCACCTCCGAACCCCGGCTCCCGGCGGTCCCCGAGGCCTCGTCCTGCCGCCTTGAACCACCCCCTTCTCCACGCCCCCCGGATTCTGCTGGCCAGGCGGCAAGCGAGAAGCTGCGCCTTCCCTTTTCTGTCCCACTCGCCGGCATCCCAGAGTTAACAAATGATTGTGTTTATTGACGAGTTCATACATCAATACAAACGGACATGTTAAAACTAGCCCCTGCCTCGTGAGACTTGAGGAGGAGAGAAGCGCCATGACCTCGACAAAGTATAAAAGTTATAAATAAAGGGCTTTCAAAACTGGGTCAGGGCAAATCTGGACGGGGCGGCAGCTGCCAGTGGCGTCAGACATGCAGAAGGGGACGGGCCCCAGCCCGGCCTCAGGACCCCCACAAGGGCTGGCGGTTGGGACAGGGCGGCCACCTTCTCACAAACTTTAGCAGGAGTGTAGCTCCCTCCTCGTAAGGGATAGGCTGGCTGAGGATCCGAAGAACTCAGCCCAGAGGACCAGGCGTGAGCCCTATTTGGGGTGGGCTGTTGCTGGTGTGTCGGTTTGGGTGAGTGGGAGTGAATTTCTAACCCTCACAAGAGCAGCTGCAGCCCTGCTGGGGGAGGACGGGGGTCCACCCTCATCGACAAGGGTTCTCGGGGCCAGGATTTCTCTGCAGTTTGCCCATGCAGGTGGTGGTAACACAGAAGAGTAGGGTGAAATAGGTTTCATCTATTCTGGTGCACAGGCTGATGCAAACGGAGCTGGGCACCCTTCAGAATCCAATTTCTTCCTAAGCCTCTGCCTATAGAGCAAGCAGGGTCCAAAGGTCTGTCCATGAGAGAATCAGCTTTTGTGGCCCGGAGCTGCTGTAAAGCTGCCCTGACTTACCTGAGGCAGAGGGAAGCAGCAGGGCCCAGAGACACATGTTCTTCACCCCAGCTCTTCAACAACTGCCTCATTAATTGGTCCTATTCTACCTGCCCACTGTGCCTCATCTCCTTCCCCTCACACCTAACAACAGCCCTTCTAATTCTAATCTATCCCCTCACCTCTACCACTTACCTGTCCCACCTACCACCTTTCCAGTGTGTCTCTTGGCCCCTGCTGCAGTTCCATGAGCCTCCCTCCCCTCACTCTCTCGTACCCAGAGCACCCTGGGCGCCCAGCACTGCCACTGAGGAAGCTCCTTCTACCCAAACCTGGTTCCCTTTGGGCTATCTCATGTCAGCTAGGTTGTGGACACCAAGAATCCAGAAATCAGGTTTAGTGTGTTCCATCCCTTTTCGTGCTCCTTGATAGGAGTTCCACATGAGCCAAAGTGGTGAAGCTGGGGCAGGACATGAGAGGACACCAGGCACACATCAGCCAGCCAAGTACTCAACTCGTGTGTGTGTGTGTGTGTGTGTGTGTGTGTGTAAGATCCTTAGAAGGTGGGCCAGCACCCTGTAAACCATGAGGGAAGTTCAAACAGGCCTCTGACTGAGCATCACTCAGGACGCAGGGAGAAGGTGGCCTCTGGGCTTTAGCAGGGTTGGAGGGGACCAGGGTTGGAGGATAGGAAAGACCAAGGGGCTGAGGAAAGGAGGCCAGGGCTTCATGTTTGCCCAGCAGAGGGCTTTTACTGTCCTGCAGCAATGTCCCACAGCTGGCTCCACAAGTTCTGGCCAGGAGAGAAAGGGGGCACAGGGAGAGAGACAATAATAGGGCCCCCTTGGAGGGGAATGGGAATGGAATGTGGGGGCTCAGGCCTTGATACCAACTGAAGCCTCCTGATGGCTGGGAACGCACTGGGCCAGAGGGCTCTGCCTTTCTGAACTGCCAGGAATTGGGGAACAGAGATAACCCCTGCTCTGGCAGCTAGGGGAGTGCAGCTGGTGTGGGAGGGGAAGTGGAGGTAGAGGTGAAGCTCTGCTGTTGGCTGAAGGGCACTGAACACCACATTGCCTCTCACCTCTACCCCACTGAATACCCTGTGTGTGCTCCACCACAGGGAGCTGATCCCTGCAGTAATTTCAAATGGCTTCTAAGAAGAGAGGGCCAGCCCTTCCCGATTTCCCCCAGATGGGGCAGGCTGCCCTCCTACTCCTCACAGCACCAAGATGACAAAGACCCAAGACCTACCCCTGCATGAGCCACTGGAAGGGCTGTGGAGGCAGGAGTTCCAAGAAAGTGAGGCAACAGTCAGGGAAATAAATTAATAAATACAGGGGCCCCATGAGGAGCTCCTGGGAAAGCTGCTTCCCCTCTTGAGCACTGATCCCTGCTATCCACTCCAAGTATTCCCACACGTTTTGGCGAGTGGAGGAGGGGCTACAGTTTGGAATAGGGGGAGCATTCACTTGGGACAAGCTTCTGGAACTCAGAGTCTGCGTTCCATGCGCCGCTCCACGGCTCGAAGCAGCAGCTCTGAGTATTGTTCTAGCAGGGCCTGTGTTTGCTCAGCCCCCACAGCCCCAGGGCTCCCACCTGGGCTGGACAACACTACCCCAGCCAGGGCCTCTAGCTCCTGCCGCAGTGAAGAGAAGGTGTTTCTGAGGAGCTGAGTGATGCGACTTTGCTCTGCTGAGGGCGTCTTGCAGCCAGCCACCTGCAATGGGACCCCGGAAGTGAGTTGGAGGAACAGGGGAGGGGCCTGTCAACAGATGTATAAAAGAGAGGGGCCCCACCTGGGTCTAGCCTGCCCCCAAAGAAGGGACCGCATGCGCAGCTGGCAGCGGCTGGGAGTTCCACATTCCAAGATCAGCAAGTATGACCAGAGGCTGTGGGAAGGAGGCAGACTCTGGGGGTGACCCCAAAGAAGGAGCCCATCAGACTATGGCACCATCTACCTCTTGATAGCAACTCCTCTTTCAAGGCTTGGGCCCTGCTGGACTGTCTCCTATGTCTAGGGGTGCCAGTTAGTTTTTGAATAGGAAAAGGGATGGTATTAATAATTACACTGGGACAAGAGGCATAAACTGGGATGATCCTGAGTAAACTACGACATGTGACCTCTCTACACTCTACCCTCCTGTCTGAGGCAGTTTCCAGCTCTTAGCCAGAAATGATTGATAGGTGCTCAGTTCAAGAGGCTTGGCTTGGCCTCTAACCCACTCGCTTACTCAGGATGTTCTTGATCCACCCACCCGTCAGTGGAAGAGCCTTATCATTATGTTCTGGATACTCAGTTAGCACTTCTGACACGCTCTGTCTTCCTGCCGGTGGGTACCCAACACGTACCAAATGGTAGAGCCGCACGGCCTGGCGCACATTGCCCTGGAGCTCTGCCACAAGTTGTTCGCACTGCTCCAGGCTCACTGCTGGTTCTGGGAGGGACAGATTCAGTTCAGGAAGGCCCAGCAAAGCTGCCCTTTCAGGCCTCCCCAACCAAGGGCCACTCAGAGCAGGAGAGGCCTACCTCCCCACATCACACCCCCTCCACTTGCCCTCAGTCGTTTCCTCTTGCCTCCTTCCTTCCTAACACCCTCCCAACACCACACAGAAAACAAGGTCCAGAGGAAAGAGCCAGCCCCAGCCCCAGGGGCCAGAAGGCACTGAAGGGGCAGGTGGGTCACAAGGAGATCATGAAGGTTGGCAGGAGTGTCTCACCATCAGGGGTGTGACTTATGGACTGAGACAGGAGCAGACAGGATGAAAAACGCCAGAGGCTGGACGCACAGAAATGAGATGGAGCCAGAGAGCAGCCAACAGAGACGGGAGAGAGAGGATGGGGCAGGAGATGAGAGCTGGGGAGCTGTGCACACCTGAGTCCTGGCTCAGGGCTGCCCTTGGCCTGGTACATTCCATGGGGCTGGGAGTCTTCTCAGGGGGTAGGGGCTGCAAGTTCTCAGGGCCTCGGAAGAGACTGCTGACCAGCAGTTGCTGGGAACAGGGGCTGGTGGGCCCAGGCTGAGCCTGGCACCCTGTCCTAGGCTTGGGAGTGGTACCCTCCTCCAAACAGGCCCGCCTCTCAGATGTGCTGTGAGTCTTTCCTAGGCCCGCTGGAGAGCCAGGCTGTTCTGCCTCACCAGGAGCCCGGCACTTTGTAACAGGTGAGAATGTGGCCAGGGTAGGTCGATCAGGCAGCGGCTTTGGGATGTCAAGGACCAAATGAGCCCGGGTAGGCAGGGCCAGCTTGCTGAGCGGTGAGACTCGGATGGGGGCAGGAGCTTGAGGTGCGGCTGCCAGGCCCAGGTTCTCCCCAACAGAGATGCTGCGGGATATCTTGGCCATGGAACTGGTGGTGGGATTCTGGTAGGAGTGTGGCCGAGACAGACGGCCCTCAGTCTGGGGCAGGGAGCGCAGGCCCTCCTGCCCCTCCATCTCCCGTAAGAGCAATGGGCCTGGTGGAGGGGACTCATCTGCAGAAGAGACAGAGATATATGCAGGTCAAATGGTGAGGAAGGTGTCCCAGATGCTAAGGCTCAATTCTTTAGGAGCTGCTGTGCCCTGCACATACCCACTAAGGGACACCCAGTGGCAAGCACAGTGACACATCAGGGCTACATCAGGTCCTCCTTCCTCTGGCATGCTCATGTGCTCCACATTCCCAGCACCCTGGAGCTGAGCCCACCAGGTTCCTTACCCTGTGGCACCAGGCTCTGCACAGACTGGGCTTTCTGGAGTCCACCTACGGGGCTGGCTGTGGCCACTCTCTTCGGGGCCCGGCTGCTGTCTGGGTTGAGACGGCGTCGTGGCAACAGCACAGGGGCTGCCTGCTGGGGGCTAGGGTTTCTAGGGGAGGGCTCTGCCTCCGGGGGTGCTCCTGGAGGATTGGCACCATTGCCTCTCAGCTGCTCACCAGAAGCCTGCAGCACCTGGACTGGTCTCGATGTCAGTGCCAGGCTTGAGGAAGATGAGGATGGTTCCCTACAGGGAGGAAATATGGAAGAAGGCCCAGAGAAGGCTCAGGGCTCCTCCCTGCCAAGATGAGGAGAAGCTCTCACAGCACTAGAGAGGTGCTAGGGGAGAAGAGCAGGCACAAAGCCAGCCAGGCCTGTTGTCCCAAAACTTGGACTGCAAAATAGTACTGGGCATGGGAAGACAGAAGCCTTGGAGAGGAGGGCTGCATGCTGCCCCAGGGGGCAGGACTGCCTACTGGAAGCACGGGGAGGTCAGGAGAGCCAGGGCTCCTCGTAGGAGAGCAAGAGCTGCTGTGAGGAGAGGTACCTGAGTGGGGGGGTCTGCACTTGCAAAAGGAATCGTGAAGAGATGCTCCGAGACTCTATCCGCTCTGGTACTCGTACTGGGCCCCCTGCCAAGGTGACAGAAATCATATATTGAAGCAAGCCCTTGCCCCAGATTCTACCTCCCCTAGAAGGCAACCCCAGGGCATGACCTGCCCTTGGACCCTCCCTCTCAGCCAGGCAAGAAGGGGAGAAGGGCAGATTGCAGTGACCAAATGCTGGCCCTCTGACCACACCTGGAGCAGCCCCATTGGCCAGAGTCTCAAAGTGCTGTTTTAGAAACTGCTCCTGGTCCGGGGTATGGGGGCTGCCTCCCTGCAGCCCACAGGAGCCAGTGCCTCCCTCCTCTTCCTCCTCTTCCTCATCACCCTCAGCCGGCTCTTCAAGGTCTGAGGAAATGCCATCCACACTCAGGGGCTCCGTGCTCTCAGAGTCTGGATGTGGGGGAGGGGGAGAGAAGTAGCATGCTGCACCCATCTGTCACCAGAGCCTCCACTCCCACCTCAGTCCACTGACTTGCATGGTTCTGGCCCTCCCTCAGGGCTGCAGCCTCACCTTCATTAGGGTGCTCAGGGCTGGAAAGGCGGCTGCTGCTGAAATCCACAGAGCAGGCACTGTCAGGGCTGTGCTTCTCTGAGCCCCTGCTGCCTGGGTACACTCTTCCCAGGGTCCCTCGGGCTGGTGCCTGCACCTGGAACTCACTGGCAGGAAGGCCAGCAGGGGAAAGAAGAGGCAATGAGCAAAGGTGAGCACTGGACTCCTGCCTTCCTTCTCCCCCACCTGTGAGCAGGATTGGGGATGAGGCAGTGGTAAAGTGGTGGGCAAGCCCTGAGTACCCTGGGGCCAGTCCTCCCCTAACTCAAGAACACTTGGAAGGAAGGGAAGACTAGGGGCTGCACGGCCCCGGAGGTGTGGTGAGGGCAGGACCCTTGCCTGGTATCCAGGGTGGGGCTGTCACTCGGCTCTGGGTAGACAATACCATCTTCAATGGGTGCAGGCTCCAGATCTTGGGCAAAGACCCCTTCCTCTTGGGACAACAATCGGATAATGTGGGGGCAGGAACAAGGTTGGGAAGCCTGAAGCCGAGGGGGATTTTCATTCTGGGAACACACAGAGGGGTGTTACTGGGGTTGCTGATGTGAGAGAGAGTCTGGGAAAAGAGGTGAAGGTGGGCAAGGATTTAGTGTGCACCAATTCTGGAGGAAGCTGCATACTCCAACTCTGAGGACAGACACCAAGAAGCCAGGCTGGGCTCCAACTAGTGTTCTTCAGTTTCTGGAAGAACTATATTAGCACTCTGGGCTGCCAACCTCCAGCCACCACTTAATATCATGAGCCCTCCAAGGAAGGCAGCTCAGGACAAAGGCTACCCTTTGCTTCTCCACCCCAATCACCATACGACGCAGCCTAGCCAGCCCCACCCTGACGTTGCAGTTCAAGTTACCCATGCGCCACAGGGACAGAGCAAGCATAGCCAGACCAGTGCTCAGGCCCCAGCTGTTGGCACAAGGCTGGCTAAGGCTGCTTAGAGATCTCTAGGGAGCTAGGAGAAAACTGGCTCACCTGGCTAACATGTGAGGTTTCAGGGGCCTGCTGACCATGCTTCCCAGGACCAGATGGGGTCATGGCCAGCGAGTCCTGGCTAGGGCCCCGAGGACTTGGGGCCAGTGTCTCCAGCTGCCGCAGGTCCAGCATGGAGCGAACACTCAGCTCCACGCCTGGCTGAGCCCAGCGCCCTCTCCTTCTGGGTCCTTGGTTGGCTGCAGGAGCTGGGTCCAGGAACTCCACTGTCTCCTGTGCCTGGTATGTGGCAGGGGTGGGAGAAAACTAATAGTAACAATCATACAATAGTATCAGCAAACACTCGTATATGACTTACTGTGTCCCAGGCACCTCACAACAACCTTCTGAAGCAGGTACTATTATTATTCCTATTTTTACAGATGAGAAAACTGAAGCACAGAGGGCTTAAGTAACTTGTCCAAGTCCCACAGACAGTAAGTGGCCTGCCTGCAGGTTACAACTCAGGCAGTCTGCTCTACAGTTCATGCTCTTAGCTTCACTCTGCGTCCTCTCTAAGAGAACCTTCTGGTCTCAGTCTTCACCTGGTATCACAGACACCTCAGAGGTGGGAGTCTCTAAAGGCCCCCTACTCTGAGGACAGCCCCAACGGAGCCCCCAAGTCCATGCACAGCACCAAAGACAAACCAATAGCTCAGCCTTGAGACGCCTCGCCTGGTCAGAACACACCAGAGACACCACACCACCATCATCCCATGAAACTGCTGCTGACAATGAAAGGTGCTGATACTTGAAATCCCAACACAAGACAAGTGAGGGCTGGGCTGCCTTGGGGCTTGCTCTGAAAGCCTTTATCCTCCTTCTGGCTACCCTGAAGTAGCCACTCAGGCTACTTATGGCCTTTTTCCTCTAACAACTGTTCTGGAAGTTCTGAGCTTACCTCTTAACCTCGGGTCTTTAGAACTAGAGTTTCTGCAGATTCCTGCTCTTTGGACCTTTGATTTTCTTTAGTTCTAACTTTTCAGCTCAGATACCCCTTTTCTACTCCCCACCTCTACCTGTTCTTTGTCCACATTTACTCCCAGGCCCCGAGGCGGCTGAACAAGTGGAGCACTTCCCTTAGTGGTGACTAACCTTTGCAGGCCACCTCACCTGGCCCACAGGAAGGAAACATCTGGGCTTTGTCATCCCCAACCTGGGACCAGCCCAGCTGCATGAACTTCCCCCACAAGACCCTTCCTTAGACACAAGGAGTGGAGCATGTGGACAGACCCTACACCCAAATGCCTTGCTAGGCCCAGAGAGCCCTGCTTTTACCTTCCTTCACCTCTTGTAACCTTGGAAGGGCATTTTAAGGATGGTGACTCACCCGACTCATCTCCCAGTGGGACAGGCTTCGGGGCAGGGCTGGGCTGGGCACCAAGGCTAGACAGAGACAGACAATCAGAGAGTGTGTCTCCTGCCCACCGACCCGGGAGCCCTGGCTCCACACCAGCCCATACCCTACATGACCACAATGATGCTCCAGTTTCCTTAGCTCACATTATTCTCACCCCCACAGTCCCAGAAAGGGCAAAACTATGCAAACTGGTGCCTGTCTGGCCCCACACCAGACTTCCACAGACCTGGTTCTTTCTTGGTACCCTTGGCAAGGATGGGGAGAGCTGGAAGTTCTTCTTCTTCAGTGCCCTCGTCTTCTCCCTCCTTGTCACTATCTGATGAGAGAGCTGGTCCAACAGAGAGCATAGATGGGGCCTCGTGCCTGAGTCCAAGATAAGGAAGGTCATGGGAGAGAAGACTCAGTGGGGGAAGAGGCCAACATCATGGGTCTGCGTGTGAAAAACAGGTATTGGAAGATAACAGAGTTGCTGAATGGCAGGTCCAGAGCAAAGAGGAGGAGCAGTGAGATCACAGCGAGCCATCTCGATGCCCACCCACCACTTGCCCATATCCTATACTCTGTTCTCACCGGTTGGGTCCAGCAGCCTTTTGGGGAGAGGATGGTCCTTGCTGCTTGCTGCCTCGCTGACGCTGGCGCAGCTCAGCCAGACGCTGCCTCATGCTGATGGTCATCTCAGAGCTCAGGCGCCACACAAATATGCAGCTGGGGTCGAGCCACAGAGTTGGGTTAGAAGAGGTAGGTAAGGACTCTGGGGGTGGCAACACCATTAGTTCCCCTTCTCCATGGGCTGGCAAGGAGACCAGAGCCACCCTCTAGTGTAAGGTCAGGCCCAGCCATGAAATATCCCTGTTCAGCCCTACTTCTCAGAGATATCACTGAGGTGAAGAGAGGGGAAGGAGCAGGGTGTTTGTGGCACAGAGGAAGAATCTATGTCTCAGGGAAGCCGGCTTCTGCTCACCTGTCCCCTGACACAGAGATGAGATGTTTGCAGTCATTACTAAATTTCATGCCAGTGACAATCTCTGTGAAGAACAAAGAATACGGCCTATGAGCCACCCTGAAGTCCCAACCAAGCTTCTGTCCCAACAGTAGAGGTGGGGGCTGGGTGGAGGAGAGGAGCAGGCAGCTCTGCTGGGTCCCAAGAAACCAAAGGAAGAAAGAGTAAAGTTCCAGGGGTAGAGTATTGGAGCTACACTCACCTGAGTGGCCAAACATGGTGGCCACGCACTCTCCAGAGGAGAAGTCAAAAATGGAAAGGTTCTTGTCGGAACAGCTGGTGGCAATGTAGATCCCTGAGGGGTCTGTCTGCACCTGAGGAGTGGGACACACAACTAGAAGAGGACAGGAAGCACCAGTCCCTCTCCATGTAGCACCCCCCTGTTCCCCTATTCTCTAGCCGGTGCCCATCCTACTGGGCCTTTACCTTAATCAGAGTGCCGTCCTCACCCTGTGACCCTTTAAACAGCTTCTTTTGCTTCCCACTGCTGATGTTAAAGATCCTGTAAAGAAATACTCTCATTCACATGAGGAGGTCATGATCAAGCACACCTGGTGGCTGAAACGCCAGCATTCACTCCCAGCCCCGTTCTCTCTGGGAGCCACTCCCCAACACCAAAGGGGCTGTCACCTCTTGGTGAGGCAAAGTACTCATTCTGTAGGCTCAAGGGGGCACAAAGTCCTGGACAAAAAGATAGACGTGGGGACTGAGCTGCCTAGAGCGACCCCCTTGGGCATGAAGGAATGTGGTCAGACGGTCTGAGAAGGGGATGCCCACCGAATATTTCGGTCCTGGCAGCCGATGGCCGTGTACTTCCAGCTGGGCTCCACATCCATGTCATAGAGGGTCGTCTTCCGTACCACGTGGTGTGTCCGTGTAAACTGTACTCCATCTCCAGACTGCAGGGGACAGACCCCGCGTCCAAATGCCTCACCAGGCCCAGAGAGCCCTGCTTTAACTTCCCTTCACCTCTTGCAACCTCAGGTAGGGGAATGGTAGAGGCCTTCCCCACCCCCCCCAACCCGCTGCTCCATTCAGGGAAGCCCTGTATCCTCACCTTCTGTGCAGTGCGGAAGTAGATGCTCTTGTCTGCTCCACAGCTGATCATTCGGACTTGCCCATCGCTGGCTATGAAGGAGGGGGACCTAGCTGTTCCCACTGTTCTCACCTCAAGGGAGTCAGCCTTTCCTCTGCCTTCCCTCCATATGTTCCCCCTATTGAGCTACTCTACGTGGCTGGGACAACCAATTAAATCAGGATGCTTCCCTCCAAACCTAGGCTTTCCTTTATCCCCAACCTCAGCCAACCTGGTCAGCTCAGGGTCCCTTGGACTGTGATTCTACATTCCACCTGTCTTTCCATCCAGCCCCAGGCTTCCCAGCTGCTGTCCAACACTCCCCTGTGACTGGTACACCTATTTCATGGAGGCAGGAGGCAGGTGGCAGTACGGGTGGGGGATGTTGGTGGTAGGTGGCAGAACGTGTCTCAATTGCCCTGCTCCCACCTGCAAACTTGACAGCGGTGATGGAGGATGAGTGCTCATCCAATGTTTGCTGTAGGCTATACTCCCGTCCAGCATCCAGCACGTGGATCAGCCGGTCCCGGCTCGCTGATGCCAGCAGCTTCAGACCTGGGATTGGAAGAACTCCATCAGCCCACAAGTGCCCAGAGCAGGCCCCTATCTGGGTCCAGCAAAGAGGGCTGCAAGAACTGAACCCTATATCCCCTTCATGGTGAACCATGGAGCAGGGATGATGCTGTCCTCCTCTAAACCTGAAAAGACACCAAATGATTCAAAGGATTTTCAGCCCAACATCCGAGAGTCAGGATAGACAAGTGGCACTAGCAAGACTGGAGGAGCCCCGCACCATTGGGCTAGGTACCAGGCATCCTCCTCACCTGTGTCTGGCTTAGAGTACTCCAGGCATAGAATTTCCGAGTCATGGGCCTCCACCTTCAGCATCTCGCTCAAGGACTGCAGCTCGTGCACCCTGCAAAGATACAGAGAGGAGGGAAGAGGCCATTGCCAGGCTGAAGGAGAGACTCACTCTCCTCCCTCTCCTATATCTTCTTCTCCAAACTTTTAAAAATTTACTTGTATTTATTTTCGAACTTTTAGACTTAAAGTTGCACTGAGTATGGAGAGTTTCCATATTTCCCTTACCCAGCTTTCCCTAATGTTAACATCTTACATAATAATAGTTCAATTACTAGAACCAGGAAATTTACATTGGTACAATACTATTAATTAAAGGCTTTATTTGAATTTCACCACTTTTTCCACAATGTCCTTTTTCTGGATCCAAGATCCTATCCAGAGTCCAAATTGCATTTAGTTGTTACTTCTCAGTCTCCTGTAGTCTGTTAAGTTTTCCAGTCTTTCCCTATCTTTCATGACCCTGACACTTTTGAAGAGAATCATTCAGTTACTCTTCAGATGCACCTCAATTTGAGTTTGTCTTATGTTTTCTCATTATTGGACCAAGTTTATACATTTTTGGCAAGAATAACACAGAAACAATGCTATGTCCTTCTTATCCACACATATGAGGATATAACCTTGATCACTCGGTTAAGATGGTTTCTGCTGCATTTCTTTGTTGTAAAGTTATCTTTCCCTTGTATACAATAAATATCTTGTTCCCCAATCTTTTTTTTTTTTTTTTTTTTTGCTGAGGAAGATTGGCCCTGGGCTAACATCTGTGCCCATCTTTCTCTACTTTATATGTGGGACACCTGCCACAGTGCGTAGGTCCGCACCCAGGATCTGAACCTGCAAACCCTGGGCCGCCAAAGCGGAGCACGCGAACTTAAGCGCTAAGCCACCAGGCCGGCCCCTCCCCAATCTTTTTGAGCCAAACTTCCCTAAAGCTCTATCCTTAGGGACCTAACTCCCCCAGCCTGCACCATGGGAGGCAGTCAGTACCCACTCCAGGCCTAGCATTACCTAAGCGTGCCCATACGGTCCCCTGAAGCTAGATGCTGTCCATTGGGGCTGATACACACAGAGCGGATGCCCACACGGGGATCCATCAGAGACCCATCAGCTTTGTCTCCTCCAGGCAGCTCAGTGTCCAGCAGGGCCTGAGTATTCCCATCCACATAGATGATCTTAATGAGGTCCTGTGAGCAGGAGAAGACGTGGATAAGCCAGGCCTGATCCAATACAGCCGCAACGGGAGAGGAATGCTGGACAAGATAAACCCTTGGCTCACAGAGCCTGACCAAGTACGAGCTGGAAGATCAAGGTCTGCAGACCCAGTTCCTGAGAAGGAGGTGTGAAGGCTGAGCAGACGGGGGTACTAAATGTGGAGTAAAGGCCCTAAGGCCTCAGGGCTCACATTGCTGAGGATGTTTCGATGCAGGGTGGAGCCATGTACCCCGGAACTCTCTGTGTTCCATAGGCGGATGGTGTTGTCCGAGGAACAAGTGATAAAGGAACTGGGGGGCAGGCAGGCCTGGTTACTGTCCTTCACTTCAGGGTAGACCTGAAGGGGCAGAGGGAACAAAGTCAGATCTCTATTTAGGGAGCAATCTCTTGCCTGCCCCAGGAGATGGAAAGGAATGAGATGAAAGAGATAACGCTGGCCAAGATTTAGCCTAGTGTCTGTCATACAGTAAGTAAGCCCTAACTATTGGGGGCTCTTCATAATCACTAAGGGGAAGCACATTAACCAAGCACCTATTATGTACCAGGTACTCTTCTATGTCTCCCACTTACATCATTTCATTTAATTCTTAGAACAATTAGATGAATCAGGTACATCATTTTACAGCTGAGGAAACTGAGGCTCAGTCAAGTTCAGCAACTTGTTGTAGATCACCCAGCCCAGGACAAGGCAAAGCCAAGGATGGACAGGGAAGAGGCCTGTCCATTGGAAGAGGCCTGAGATATATAAGCCTTAAAATTCAAGCTCAATCCTCAGGACCCATCTGAGGATATGTAGATACACAGGGATGTTGCTGGAGAAACAAGTAGGCAGCAGGAACCTAACACTATACTTGGGGATGCCAACTTTCCATCCTCACAATGCTATTCCAGCAAACCTGGTCAGTCTCAAGCCAGCTCAGCCCACATACCTCCACACTCCAGACGCAGGAGGAATGATACAGAGCAGAGTACACCTTGCCCACTTTCTTGGGATCCCTCACGTCCCACACATAAATGCTGTGGTCGTTGTATACACAAGACAGCCACTGATTAGTAGGATCAAAGGTCAAGGCAATGGTGTCTGGATACCTGGCATTGGCCACTCCGGAGAAGAGGCGACTGTGGGGAAGAGGACAGGGCAAATTGGTGAGTGAAGAGCTGATGAAATGGGGGATTGGAGGGAATGAAAAAGGAAGCCAACCCACAAAGGAAGGAGCAGAGCATAGGGAGCCTTCTCGAGACCTGCAGGTTTGGAAGCAGTTGCTTGAAAAAGAAAAAAAGCAGCCCCTGACAGCCGTCAGCTGGGAGCTGACCCGGCACTAGCTGCTGGGCCATGGTGTTCTCCTAATGAACACAATGTCACAGAACACCAACCTCAGACAACGTAACTCTGTGGCGATGATGGAGCAAAACAAAAACAAGATTACTCTGTCATCGTGTCTGAGCAGAGATAAAGCCAAGATCACTGTGCAAATCACAAAAATGACCAAACATCACCCTTTCTCGTCTATCATGACCGACTCCTGCTTCTTTACCAATTACAGCTTTAGCCTCATACTTTTCCTCCCACCTTTTAAATAAAAATTATTAAGATGTCCCATTGTAGAACTGTCCCCTCTTCCCAACAGCATCCAACCAGAGCAAAACTTCAATCCTTTAAACCATTCCTAAAATCATCTAACGCCCAAATCTTACGATAAGCCCCTCCTAACACCCACTTACTGATAGACTCCCCGGTTCCCCATGGTGTGCAGTCTCCATGGTTGCAACAAGTACCAATAAACCCAAATTTGTTTGTCCTCAGAAGTGTTCCTGGTAATCTGTGGGGCATCAATCCACTCTTCCCCTTGTTCCCTGAAGCATGCCAGGGAAGGCTGGGCACAGGGTGAGGCTCTGAATGGAGGCAGGAGGCCCACACAGCTCACCTGGCCTCAGTGACACTGGCAATGTCTGTCCCCAGAGCATGGGGCCGGGGCAGAGTGCTGAGGAAGTGCAGGTTAGCGGGGTTGAAGAGGCGCACGGTACCATCAGCACAGCCACAGAAGATGTAGTCTTGGCTCACAGAGATGCAGTGGGCCACAGTGGTCTGCAGGCAGAGGGGTTCAGGTCAGCAAGGGTCACCAGCCCAAACCCTCCTCAACAGTCACCTGCCAAGAGGAGAGACCAGCCAAGGCACGGACGAGGGAAAAACAGCCCAGCTGCTCTGGCCTGAGACCCTCAGCTGTTATCCAGAGATGCCCCTCCCTCCAGGAGCAGGTGGCCAGAGGGCCCACAGCCATGTGCAGTTGAGGGATGGGAGTCAAGAATCCCTCTAAGGCACTAGAGGTTTTCGCAAAGAGGGCAAGTAGGAAAAGCCCAGCAAAGAGAAAGAAACAGCATGAGAAAGAGAGGAGGCTCTAGGCACCACTTACTGTGAAGTTGTCTGTGTTCTGAGCAGAAGAGGAAAGCAGGGGAAAGGCAGACAGAAAGAGAGCAGAGAGGAGGCAGTTATACAGATCTCCACGGGCTGGAACTGGGCCAAGCTCTGGCTCCCCCAAGCTTCTTTCTCCTGGGGTCCCCTCCTTCATGCACAAGGGCCCAGCCCCTGATGTGGAGCCACAGGCATCAGTTCTCCCCTGAGCTGAGACATGGGCAGCCCCTACCCACTGGGACAGAGGTACTTACTCTCAGCTCCACCCACTTATCCAAAAGCCTCCGATCACTGAACTCGCATAGCAGTCCTGAGGACGTGATGCAGAAGGTGCTGTCTGCCTTCTTCCCTCGGCCACAGGCCACATCTGTGAACAAGTTGTTCCGTAGCTCCCCCAGCAGCCCTGAGCGGCCAAGCAGGGGCACAGTGGCATTCACCTGTGGAGACACACCACTGTTGCACACCTGTCCACTCCAGAGCCTGCCCCTGGAAACAGGCCCTAGGGAGAGGGAAGAGAAGCAGCAAGCGCCCCCTTGCTCTTTGAGACTACTCCTCAGCCCGGATAGCATCTAGCTCACTCAGAACTTCTGTACGGCTGCTGAGCAAGCAGAGAGTGGCCCAAGAGCACCATGGTCTCCTGGGGTGGGCTGAGCAGGCCCTGGCCCTGATGGCTACTTCCAGGCTCAGGTTCTCACCTTTGAGGTCTTGCTGTCATCGAGGTACCAGAATTTGATGTGCCGGTTGCCTGCAGTGACAAAGTAGCTGCAATCTTCAGAGAAGGACACTGCTGTCACCCTACTGGACACCTTATTGGAGGCCACCACAATGTTTTTCTGGAGGGAAAACCAAAGGAAGAATCACGGTCTGCCCCTTAGGGCTAAGAAAAAAGAGGCTTTGAGGATGGCGGAGGGTTAGATAGGATTTGTACTTGAAAAAATGTTTCTTTCCAGGGTTTTCTGGTCAGAAAAAGAGGGGAGAGAGGAGAATCCCTTTCTAGAGGAGTTGAAGAAATTCATTTCCTCTGGAGGTCCTCAAAGGCATAAAGCTAGCCTCTTTCTACCAATATGCTTGGCTACACAGTTGCTCTTGTTTTTTTTCTGTTGAGGAGGATTCGCCCTGAGCTGTGCCAATCTTCCACTATTTTGTATGTGGGTCACCGCCACCGTATGGCTGCCAACAAGTGACGTAGGTCTGCACCCAGGAACCAAACCCAGGCCGCCAAAGCGGAGCGCACCAAACTTAACCACTAGGCCACAGGGCCAGCTCCCACAGTTGCTCTTTTCTGCTTCAGATCATTTTCTAAAATGAAACTGAGATCAGCATGGTGGAGTGAAGGGGCTCAGGTCAGCAGCTTCCTGGCTCCCCAACTGGCCCTTGGACCCCCATGAGGCTTCCAGGCCAGCCCACCCAGCCCACTCACCTTCCAGGCCCAGACGTTGACAATCATGTCATGCTGGTAGCCCACAGAGACAATGTACTTGGCACTAGGGGAGAAAGCCACACAAGCCACACCATACTTATGCTCCTGCAGCTCTGCGACCTGGCTATGTTCAGCCACATCCCAAACCCGTACGGCAGGCATGTGCCCACTCTGCAGGGAGGCAAGAACCAGAAGTGAGGGCCAGAGGCATACAGCCTCCCCAGCCTTTCAGAGAGGGGACCCCCACCCCCACAGCTACTGGATACAATCTCTCTAATGACCCCCCCACCGGCCAAGAGTCAGGAGCAGAGTGCTATACAGGGCAAAGGCATAGAGGAAACATGATAAACACCTCAGGACCACAAGGATTATCGGGGAGAAAATGTCCCCAGGTTTTGTTCACTATCTCTAGGTGAGGGTCTGCACCTCTGTGTTTGTTCAAAGCTCCTTGAGTGATTCTGATGGGCAGCCAGGGTTGAGAACCACTACCTACTACTCATGTCTACTTCTGCCCCACAACTTGCCTCCCTGTAAGAGACTGAGAAGGTAGAGGTATTCCTCATGGGCCCAGCAGGGGGCCTCCGGGGATAAGGAATATGTTAAGGCAGTGGTTTACAAAATCCTTTCAAACCAGCAGAATCAGCACGTTCTGGGAATTTGTGAGAAATGCAAATTTTGGGGTCTGATTTCCAGATCTATAAAATCAGAAACTCTGGGGGTAGGCCCAGCAATGCGCACTTTAACAAGCCCTCCAGGTGATTCTGATACACACTAATGCTTAAAAACCACTGTTTTAAGGTACAGCAAAAACCAGAATTTGGCATCTGTTCAGGAAGCCAGAGCAGCAGCAGCCTCTCTAGGCCTAGGACTGTAGCTCTCTGCTGAGGCCAGGCCACCCTCCCCCTTCAGAGTACTGCAGCCCCCTTTCCTCACTCACCTCTCCTGTGACCAAGTACTTGCCATCAGGGGAGAAGGCAAGGGCAGTTATGGTTTTCCTGCAAGAGATGAGGCAGGCTCAGAGGGGCATGGGCAGCCTGGCCTAAGCCTGGCTCCCTCACAGTCCCCTCAAAAGGCAAGACCCACGGACATCAATGGCACATTTGGCATTTCCCTATCTGGCCCTGGGACTCAACCAGGTCGCAGCCCCCAAAGCCATAGAGACCCCAGACAGTGCCCTTCTCACAGCCCCCAGGAGGAGGAGGTGGCCCTGACCCGTTTACCTGGAACTGTTGAGGATGTGGTGCTGTTTGTGTTTCCGGGGATTGAACAGCACAACCACGCACCTGGGGAGATGAGTGAAACAACAGATTTAGCACCAAACCACAGCTCCCACAGGAGCTCCCAGGCCACCTGGGAATTCTGGTCCCCCAGCAGAGGAAGCTAGGTGGAGCAAGCTCAGAGGGGCTCCACTTGCCACGGAGGTCAACTGGCTGCTTTCTCCTGGCAATCTGCTCTTCTTGCTTCCGTTCCCCACCCACAAGGGCCTATGTCTGTAGCCCCAGGAGGGTGAAAGGGCTCCCTGCAAGCCTGCGCCCCCAGGTCCCTAAGCACCAGCACCATCTCTGGTCACATCCATAAAGGGTAGCAGGGACACAGGCCTCCCCACAGCCCTTACACATAGCCCAGGAAGGGTGCAGGAGGGAAGAATACACACGATTTGGGCAAAGCAGGCCACAAGTGTGCAGCCAGTTCACAGGCTTGGAGCCACATGTGTGTCAAGCATTTGTGTTAAAGGAGGGGTGAGGCCTCTCACGTGTGCACCCATATGTGTACTTGGCAGGAGCTGGTCCCCCACACCCTCTAAGCATCAGATGAAGAAGGGAGTGGGAGGCATGGGGCCAGAACTGCAGGGAGGCTCAGTAAGACTAGGGGGAGGGGCACAGAAAACCCGAGAAGGCCTGGGGAAGCCTGTTGAGTGCCTTGGAGCTCCTGGGCCCAGCCCTGAGAATCCCTGGCCCCAAGAAGCCTGAGAAGGGCCCTCTAGACTGCCAAAAGGCAATCAGGAACTGCCTGCCATGAAGAGAAGGGCTGAGAGCACACTCTCCATCCAGGTGGCAAGGCTGGATGGGATCAGGTTCAGACTCACTGTCCAAAGGCAGCTCCAGAGAGGAGGCCAGGTGGTAGGAGTCAAAGCAAGAAGCCAGAAGCCACAGCCAGGCAGTGTTCCCCTTAGGCTCCTTGTCTGTCAGCAGGCCTGGGCGCATTGCCTCTTCTGCCTCACCACTTAATCAGCACTGTAACTAGCTGACAGGAGCAAGCATAGAGCCTGCTGCACCAGGTAAGAGGACGGAGAGAGAATGAGCAGAGGACTACCTTCCCCAGACCAGCCTTGTTTAGTGGGAAACCCACTGCTTGCTAGAAATTTGAAGCAAAGGCAGGTACAAGCTGCTAGTGAGTGCTTAGCATCTTAGGCTCAATAGACCACTTCAATATGCAAATTCCACAGGTAATCACTGGGGATGCTGGGATCTCTGAGGTACACCAGATATGCCTAGAACCGCCAGGGTGACCAACAGCCTTGGAATTCCTGAGTTACATCACCTTCTCCTCTAATCTCCTCCCCTAAATCCTCCCTCATTGTCCTCTTTCTCCTTCTCTCCCCATCTCCTAACTTTCCTTGTTCCCCTTTCCTCATTCCTTTCTCTTTATACCATCTTCCAGTCTCCTGCTTCCCTTCCAGAATGCCATGTCAGGAGAGTTTTTAAAAATATAACAAAAATCAGATTGCTTTGGAAACTCTGTGTCCCATCACTCTCCCTCTCCCCTCCCAAAACGCACACACACATCCATGCACACTTGCCCAGCTTGTCTTAAGGACAGTCCAGGATACAGGGGGTCTAATTCCTCCAAAAGAGATAGACTCATAGAAACTTAGAGATGGAAAGAAGGATGGAAGGAATTAAATGCACTGTGCTAGATGACTTTAAAGATTACCTGGTCCAACCCTCCAAAATTTTGAGATAAGGAAACCTAGGCTCAGGAACCTAGGCTCCGATAGAGCAGAGCCAGGACTCACAGGTCTTCTGACTTCCAGTGCTCTTTACATCAAATATGTGCACACCTCTGATCTGATCATGTCCCCCTTGCTGAAAATCCCAGGGGAGCTTCTAAGACCAAACTCCTTTCAGTGTCTTTGAAGGCCCCCGGTGGTATGACCCATGCCCACCCTCCAGCCTCACCCTGGAACATGCTCCAACCACATTCTTTCACCTCTTTTAACTTGGTAGGTTCTTCCCACTACAGGGTCTTTGAAGGAGCCATTTCCCTCGTCTAGAATATTCTTCCCTCCCTTTTCCAACTAGTTAACCTTTAGTCCTCTTTCAGATCTCAGGTCAAACAGCCTCAGTATATGCTCTTTAACACACTTGTATCAATCTCTTGTAACATTTATCACAATTGCAATTTAACATTTATTTTTTATTATCTCACCCATTAGACTGTGTATTCCGTGAGGGTGGGAACTGGATTTGTTTTTGCTTGCTGCTCTGTCTCCTGTGACTTGCAGAGTCTGGCCCATTGCAGATGTTCAAGAACCATTTATTGAATGGATGAATGCCTCCCTTGGTCCACAAGCTTGGTCCTGGTGGGGCATCAGTAGGCCCCAGCTCTCCTCCCTACTCCACGCCCCACCTATCTTCTATGGAAGGGGGGAGCGAGGACCTGTGAATCCTCAGAGGCAGTGTGGGGCAGTGGGGACATTGTGGGCTTTGGAGTCAGAGACCAGGGTTTGAGTCCTTGTTCTGCCATGTACAGTTTTGTGACCCTAGGTAAGTCACAAGCCTGTTTCCTTATCTGTAAAAAAGGAGACACTCAGATCTAGATCACAGGACTTCTGTGAAGATTAAATGATCTTTTTCTGACACATAGTAGGAGCCAAACAAATGGCAAATTTTATTATTCCTACTCCTGGAGCATGGAAAGAAAGCTGAAAGGTGGCTCCTGGCAGTGGGGAACGAGTTGCCAAGGGATTGTGTCAGGTTTTTCCTTTGGAAAAATGGAGGGGAGTCCTGTTTGGATCTGAGTAATGGTAAAAACTTGAAAGGAGGTTTTATTTTTTGTTCTGGAAAGGCAGCCAAGAAAGGAAAGCTGGGTTAAGTTTGGAGAAAGAAAAATATCTATATCTTCATTCACTTAGGAGATGATAAGCTTGGAAGGTAGCAAGGAAGGAGAAATGCTGAGGGAGAAACTACCTCAAGTGTCTAGCACAGCAGCACAGAAAAGTATGGAAAGATAATGGAAGCGACATTTCCTGGCTAAGCCGAAAAGCACCACACAAGAGTTTCAATGAACCCTGAACATGAAGGCTTCCACTTCCTGTAGTGACTGGTCTATTGCTCTTCACCCAGTGGGGCAATAAGAGTTACGGTTTATCAAGCACTTTGTAGCAGGCACTCTGCTAAGCACCTTAGATGTGTGGTCTTAGCTAATCCTTACAATAATCTTGTGATGCTGGTACAATTATTCCCACTTTAAGATGCAAAAACGAGTTCAGAGCAGTGAAGTCATTTGCTCAAAAGCCACTCAGCTAAAGCAAAATAGAGTCAGCATTCCAACAGGAGTGCTCTAAGAAAAGCAGAGTGGACTGAGTAGCGGAAAGAAGAGAAAATTGAAGTTGAAGAGAGACTTGAAACACAGGAAGCATACTGACCTAATGCATACGGTGCTAGGGCAGGAGCCTCTGAAAAGAAAGAAGACTGGGGCACTTTGAGGGAAAAAGGATTTAGGCTACAGGATTTTTGGAAATCAGAACAAGATGCATGAAAATTAGAGCAGTTATAGTTCAAAGTTCATGAATTTAGATATTTAGATTTTAATACTTCATTTAGTGTGTGAAAAACAATACCCCCCAGGCTTGCCACCATCAAGAAGAGCCCAGCAAGTTTTTGTGCAAACTGATGTTTTCTGAATCTTCTCACTATCTGTGCTGACCTGCTGAGGAGGCCCTCTGCAGGCTCATCTCTCTAGCAATGACTTCTAGTCTGAGTGGTTACAGGCTACCTAGCTTTCTGATCAGCTACAGATAAACCACGGCAAAGGGCTTCAGCTGAGAGCTGATCTGACATGAACTGACTCGATGCATATTCCAGCCAGCCACATTCCAAATCCAGAAAAAGTAAGTGATGAGGGCTCTACTGTAAGCTTCTGAATTTTCCTTTAAACCCATCATCCCAAAGCAGCATTGTGACCTTTCAAGGGCAGTGCATCAGACTGCTTAAAACACTTTCCAAGTCATTGCACCCAAATTCTGAGTCCTGCTGGGCCACAATATCTTCTGTTTCCTCCTTCCCCTAGGTTTGACTTTATGGTGGTAAGACGAGATAGAGCAGCGTGTGTGTAAAAATACAATGTAGACAGAAAGATGACTGGCTGTGAGCCAACCTCTCCCTTCTCTAACACCCCCCCAACACACCCCCAGTATATAGCTGGGAAAATTCTCAGGTGTAGCATGGAAGAGTAAAGCAAAGGAGGGAAACACACACACACAGAGGTAGGCCCTTAAGCGGAAATTTTTACTTCTAATTATTCAAATTTAGAAACCTTACAACAGAGACAGAGGAAGAAAGAGACCAACCCACGGTCACAGCTCCACTTGTGGGACAATAATGCAGATGTTAACATGAGGGCAAAACTTGGCAAAGACATCCAAGGTTCCTCCTGTGCCCAGCTTGTTGAGGTCCTCCCAAGAGAAGAGAGCTCATAGCTGCTGATGTGGGAGCCTCCTCAGTCTTCCCTCACCTTTGAGCAAGCCCCTCAGTCTGCTAGGGAGTGGAGGGTGGGGCGCAGTTTGCATCAATCTTTGGCCCTCTGCCTCCACATCCCTTGATCCTGCCCAGCACAGCAGGCACTCATCTTCACATGCCCCTGCAGCAGTGCTGGCTGAAATCCTCAATGACAAGGGCGGGGCTAGCCCAACCAGCTGAGTCCCATAATTCAGAACCCCAGGGTACAGGTGCAGGGAGACGGTGAGGTCTCAGTCCCTCGGGACCTCTGCCCGGGGGTCACATGGTGGAACACCGGTACCATCTGCTGGCCCCATCGCCCAGGAACTTCTCTGAACAAGGAAGGGCCAAGCCCTCAACAGCCTTTTTCCCTGGACAAGTCCAAGCTTGCTGCCACCACGAAGAGCCCAGCACTCCCACAGGATCCACCTCCTACCACTCTCCATCTTCCAGAAAGCAGAAACAAATTAACTCTGGGATGAGCAACGAATACAGCAGCACATACAGGGAGCAGAGACCCCGCATCTTAGAATTTCTTCTTCAGACCAGGTAAAATCAGAAGGGGACTCACAGAGGCATGCCAAAGGTCCTTCAAGCCTTGCTCAAATGTTCACCCTCTAGCCCTGTTTAACATTACAACCCCACATTCTTATTCCCTTTCACTGCTTATTGCTTATACTTTTTCCAAAGCACACACCAACTTGTAATATTCTATGTAATTTACTTTTTTTGATGGGGGGATCTGTCTTCATTACTAGACTCCCAGCTCTGGGAAGGCAGTATTTCTGTCTGTTTTGTCTACTGTTACATCCCCAGGGCCTAGAAGATAGGCACTTAATAACTATTTGTGAATGAGTAAATAAATCTTTAAGTCACTAGCTACCAGATCTCAAAGCCCTGACTGCCAAGGAACCTTGTGAGTAGCAGGCTCTAGGGCAGGTCCATGGTTCTCCCCTATCTTAGACTTTTAGGACTCACTGACGCTCAAGGGCAGTGTGATGATGGAAAGAACAGAAAACTGGGGTCAAGCAGACCTGTTTACTACCATATTGTGTAACCCTGGGCACATTTCTTAACTTCTCTGAACCTCCGTTTCTTCATCGGTAAAATAGGAATAATAATACCTACCTCACAGAACTGTTGAGAGAACTGAAGAAGCTAACATACAAAGTCACCAGCATGGCGCTCCTAGCCATCTTCTTGAAGTGTACTCTGGTGCACCAATAACAAGTAAAGGACTATCCAAGGGGTCAGCAGTTGCAACAGAAACCCCAACTACGATATCCCATACAGGATTTGCTGGATACTAGTGACTCATTAGGGTCCTCATTCAGGAGTGGAATTACGAACTCTCTCTCCTTAGATTCACTCCCAATGGAGAAATCTTATAGCTTTCATTATTCTAAGAGATAATGAGTCTAGGATGTTTCCTAGGGCATGCTTGGTTGTGGTCCTCTTTAGAGACCTAGAATCCAATGCCTTCCAAATAAGTAACCCTCTTAGGCCAGGCCATGAGACTGGAACCTCCGTTTCTGGGATGCTTCCCAAACCCCTGCTCAAAGGCATGAGAAAAGACTTGGTAGTAATAACCCAGTGAATAACATGGCCATGGTGCAGAGCTAACAGTATGCTTCTCTCTGCCCAGAGAGACTCTAAACACATTCCCTTCTGGGACAAGAGGTGGATCTCTGTGAGCTGCAAGACTTATAGGCGGATCAAAATGGCAGTGTCTGAGCCACCTTCCTCTCACTCGCCATGGTCTAGCCACCACGCCTGGCCTCTGTTTAGCTCCTCAAACAAGTGAACTGATTCCTCCTTTGTTTGGGACCTTTGCACTTGAGGTTTCCTCCACCTGGAACACTTTGGTGTCAGATCTTCACATGTTGATTCCTCTTTGTCGTTCAGACATCAGCTCAAATGTGACCTTCCACTGAGTCCTGACCACCCAATCTTAAAGTCACTCCACCCCCATCCCATTCCCAGTTATTCACTTACTCTCCCTTCCATCACCTGGGTTTATTTTCTTCAGAACACTTATCACTCTCTGGTATTATCTTGTTCACTTATTTGCTTACATGCTTACTGTCTGTTTGCCCCACAAAAGCAGTGACCCCGTCTGTCTTATTCACTGTTGTGCATCCTGTGCCTGGAACAGTGTCTGGCCCAGAGCAGGTTTTCATCAAGTATCTGCTGAACAAATGAATGGATGTATTGATGAATAGACCTTTCTGGGAAGCACTAAGGGCCCTCAGTTTCAGGTGTGAGATCTGCAGGGAAACCAGGAGAAAAGGCACTGAGGGGACTGACGCTTGAGAGTGCCCCTGCATAGGCTTCACATCCAACAGGGCACCAAGTCCAAGCATCCTCTTCTCCCCGGTCTACCCAGTCTCTCCACTGCCCCACACACTCCCTGGCAAACCCCCACATAGGGCTTGCCACAGAGAGTAAGAACGCAGCTCTGTGCTCCTTCAGCTCAGAAGTCACTAGAACACAGTTCAGGAGATTTTGTGGGTTCACGCCCGGTCCAATGCTTTGGAGCTGGGGATCTCAGCATCAATTCCAATGTGAGCTGAATAAACGGAGGGCCTTCTCAGGAGAGCTGGGTTTCCCCTCCTCCATCCTACTTAAAGCAACCAAGAGGTCTCTTCTTGGCTGCTGGATAGGGCAGTCACCTTTCCAGGACACTTCCCACTCTAGTAGCTGCTCTGCCCAGAGCATTCACCCAGGCCAGGCCCTGTGCTCTGGCACTGGGGTCAAGAGAAACCCACTCTCAGAAAAAAGTGTCTTCATAGTGGCAACAGGGGCTGTGCTAGCCTCTAAAGCCCCTGAACCCTCTACCAAGCCAGCTAGAAAAGGGGCCCAAGTCAATTATGGGTGTTAAACTAAACTGAGTCCCTCAAAGAGGCTACCTATGTGGGGACCAGCCTGGCCGCCTAGAGTAGAGGGGCTTAAAGTGTGACAGGTGAGGGGTGCGCTTCCTGTGGGGAAAACAACAGCAAAGGGCAAACTCTGAAGAAGAGATGCAGGAGCCACTAAAACTGAGGGTTCTCTGTCCAGAGACTTCAATCCACCTCTGCCTGACACACACATCTCCCTCCACCACACCCTCTCGGAGTCGTTTCATTTCCTTTCAGAAAACCTTGTTTTGGTTTGATATTTGCCTCTAGGCCTCTGGGAGAATTTTCTGAGCTTTGTTTCTCTTCTTGTTTCTAGGATACCTGAGCTGCTCCTAGAGCAACAAGCGCAGTAGGAACAAGAGAGTGGGGGTAGGGGGTGGGGTGAGGATCACCAGATAGAAAGAGGAGGAAGAGAGGCAGGGAGGGACAGAGCCTGCTTGGCTCACACAAATTTTGGGGGGCCCCAGATACCCCAGAGGCACATTAGGGAGCTCTAAAACAGAGCAAAAGTAAAACACCCAGAAAAGGGCCATTTGCAAAGAGAGAACTTAAAGTTCTAGGAAATCAAAAGGTCAGGGAGTAGATCAGGGCACTGCCCAGGGCTGGCCCAAGGCAAGCACACTGAGGAAGCCTACTAGAGGTCACAGCAGGGAAGCTTCCACACACCACCTGGAAGGATAACACCTCCCAGGCACATGCACCAGGCTAGGACCTGCCCATAAACAGAAGCATACACCCTTAAAGGCACCAGGCCTGGGGTGAGGTGGGGGGGCAGAGCTCCACACTCCCCAGGACAGGGACATAGGACTCAGCACGTTTGGAGAAGCAGCCCAGGCCTTTCCTGCCCATCCCACACTCAGCCCCAGCTCCACCTCCAACAAGAAGGAACCTGGCTTTCCCAGGCAAAGGCAGGATCTAGTGGAATTCCCCTGAGGCAGGCTGCACAGGGTAGCCAGCAACAGAGGTCATTCATCAACTTGCTTTTGGAGGAGAAGGATGCCAGCTCAGCCTCTGCAGAGTAAAGCCAGTGAAGCTCCCACAATGTCCCTACCACAGACATCAATGCCAGAGGGCCACACAGGAGAGAGACTGACCCAGAAACCCAGGGGCAGAAGTCTCCCTGGCATAGACTGAGATGCCCATAAATTGGGCTCTTCTCATTCAAATGGCAGGTAGACAGCTGAGGAGGAAAGCAGCTTTTAAAAATAAGCAGGAAGTCTGGTATCCCCCAACTGGTGCAATTTTAGGAGTAAGAGCTCTGCAGTCAGACTACTCGGGTTGACATCCCAATACAGATAGATACTCACTAACTGTGTGACCTTGAGCAGACTGCTTAACCTCTTTGAATCTTAGTTTCCTCCTCTAAAATATGGGATGATAATAGTACCAACATCACAGGGTTGCTCTGAGTATTAAATAAAATAATTCCTGTAAAGTGCTTAACAAAGTGCCTAGCACAGAATAAAGTCTTGATAAAGGTAGCATTTTTAAAGGGATGACAAAACTAAGAGAATCACATATCTGGTACAAAAACTGTCTATAAGAGCTGCTGTGGAAATCACATTGGGGAACTCAGCATTCCCAAGATGATGGTGGGGGAAGAGGGGTGGAGCTGTGACCTTCCATTTTCGCATTCCTGTGCCCAGTAGCATGGAACAGAGGTTGACAGAGAGAACCAGAAGCAGGAGGGGCCTCAAGGCTCCAAAAGAAACACTTCAGCAAAAGCCTAAAAACACTATGGTTGGGAGTTTCTCATCTGTAGGAGCAGAGTAAAAAGGCAGCAAGAGAAAGAAGACCAGCCTCAGAACACTACCTTTCTTTTACAGACTGACACCTCCCAAAGTGACTAGAGCAGACAAATGCTCAGAGCAGCATTTTTCATAATAGTCAAAAAGTGGAAACAACCCAAATGCCCAGCAACTGATGAATACATAAAATGTGGTATATCCGTACAACGGAATGTTATTTGGCCATGAAAAGAAATGAAGTACTGATACCTACCACAACATGTATGAACCTTGCAAACATTATGCTCAGTGAAAAAAGCCAGTCACAAAAGGCCAAATATTGTATGATTCCATCTATATGAAATGTCCAGAACAGAAAATCTACAGAGACAGAAAGTAGATTAGTGGTTGCCTAGGTCTAGGGGTCTTGGGGGGAAAGGGAGAACGACTGCTAATGGGTATGGGATTTCCTTTTGGGAAACTGAAAATGTTCTAAAATTGATTGTGGTGATGGTTGCACAACTGTGGATACACAAAAAGACTGAATTGTACATTTTAAATGGGTGAATTGTGTGATATGTGAATTTCATCTCAATAAAGCTGTTTTTAAAAATGACTAGAAAGCAGATACTGAAGATAGTGTTGGGAGCTATGCATAATATAACGTGTGACTCTGTATGTGTGGGTGTGGGTGGACAGCCAAAAAGCAGAACAGGATGGCAACAAGGACAACACCCAACAAAGAGCCTTTACCCGGCCCTGTAGTTCCTTTATAAAAAACGGCACCAAAACATTAACCTGGATGTATCTCCAAGAAGATACCAGACAACTCCTGCCCACCCCAACTGGTTTAGCATGGCTATAAAGTCCCATGCAATAAGACTTCTTCCAAGGCACTTACCCAGCTGGGTAGGCAACTAAACCCGATCGGGGGTCACAGGCAAGTCCTCTGCCTCCAGACACTGTTATTCCAAGCACCTTCTCCAAGGTCACCTGTTAAAGCAAGACAGAGAACTGACATGTGAGGGACAGAGTGAGGCTGGGAAAGAGGTGCTGAAGGTACCAGAGACCATCCAGCAGGGCTGACTACTTTTCTGATGACCCTATCTTCAGGAGAATGGGTCCTGACCTTCTCCTGTCAGACATTCTTGACTTGCCTAGGTTTTGTTCTGGTCCCAGGCCCCTTGATCACAAAGGAAAAAGCCAGTGTGCATCGTCAGCTTTTAACAGGGCTCAATCTGCTGGGACTATGGGAAAGAAAATGAAGTGGTTAAAGCTCAGCTCACGGCCACAGAGGCACAAGCACTCCCCCAATCCAAGAAGGCTCTGTTTACAAGAGAAAGCCTTGGGTCCCCAGACTGGCCTCCTGGGTCTATGAGACTCAGGAGGTCACTGATCTTCATGCCTTGGCAGGCATGAAAGGAAGGCCACGCTGATTTACCAAGAGCCACAAGAATGTTAGGTATCATTTAGGTGACTCATAATATCCCTGATCTTTGCATTCCGTCACGTTCTCCCGCTCCATCAGAGGACTCCACCCACCCAAATGTCTGCCAGTTCATATAGACTACAAGCCTAGGAGGCAAAAAACATGGCTTAATGCTGTGTTTTGCAAAGCACAGATGCTCAGGGTACTCTAATTATCATTATTAAGCCACAACTCCCACAGAGATGAAAGAGAAACATGTATGAAGTGCTCAGAGATTCTGAGAGGACATGGCCACAAGAGACATTCCCCATCACTTTCATCATCACTATTGTTACCCTACACTGTCTGCAGCCCCCAGGGCGCACAGTGGACTAACCTCAAATTAGTTCACTGGTCTTTCTGCTAGATGGTCCCATGTGAGATTCAGACTGCCCTGTAACCTCTTGCTTGTCAATCCACCTCACCCTCTGCTACAGAACGTCTTGCTCGTCACTCCAGGTCCAGTCTCTGCTAGTACTGTCTGGACTGCCTGCACTGGCCCTCCTCAGGGATGTCCTTGGTCTTTGTTGGCTCAGAGAGAGGGGCTTCTGAGTGCAGAATGGCCACATAAACAGGCTAGACTGTTCTCTGCTAAGAGAGTTTCAGAGGCCCTAGGAGGGCGATGTGAACCACAAACACTTCAGGGGTTTATATCCATGGCAGGGTGATCTATTCCTAGTCCAGTTCAGTTTCTAGAGAGGAGAAGCCCAGAATCAATTAGGGTAATTTTAGGATCACTCCTTCTCTCTTATTGTTCCAACTGGAGAACTCACAGTGCTCCCAGAGGGCCTGTTTAAATTCTGATCTCCAGGGCTGGCCCCGTGGCGTAGCGGTTAAGTGTGCAAGCTCCGCTGCTCGCGGCCTGGGTTCGGATCTGGGCGCACACCAACGCACCGCTTGTCAGGCCGTGCTGTGGCGGCGTCCCACAAAAAGTGGAGGAAGATCAGCGCGGATGTTAGCGCAGGGCCAGTCTTCCTCAGCAAAAAGAGGAGGATTGGCATGGATGTTAGCTCAGGGCTGATCTTCCTCACAAAAAAAAAATTAACTAATTAATTAACTCTGATCTCCAAAGACCATTTGAATTAGGCTGGAAAGGAATGCCCTGTGGTGGCCAAAGGCCAAAACAAGTCTCCTGGGACGTTATGGTTAAAACCTACCCCTGAGAAAGGTCCCCAAGAGTCTTCTGTGCTTCTTGGGGATGTGGACCAGGAATCCCAACACGTGTCTACTCACTGATAGAGGCAGTTTAGTTCCAGGGTACCATACCAACCCACAGCCACCTGGCAAGCACTAAACTTGCCAGTTACTCTTGGGCCTATCTGAGGCACTAAACCTAGTGTGGGATAAACTAACTTGAGCCTACTCTATACATTCTTGATAGTTCACCCTAACTTATGCTCCTTCTACACTTTCCTCAGCTTACTGACCCCCTGGCACTCAGTCACTTTTCTGAAAGCCTGAGCACTGGGCACTGACTGGAGAGTACAAAATAACCCTGGGGAAGTCCGGGGGATACTTAGGTCAGGGTACCACTCCCTATCCTGGCATTGTGCCTCTGGCTATCCCAGAGGGAGGTGTATTCAGGAACATTCCTACCACACCAACTGCCTACTGCAGAACAAAGAGAGAGAGGAGCCCGAGGTCAGCTTCACCCACATAGATGGGAAAGGTCACAAAATCAAGTGCAGTGAGCTAAAAGGGTGCTCAACTCCTATTCTCTTCAAGCTAATCTGATTTCAGGCAAATCCTCTGGATTCAAGTTTGCATCAATCCCTCCCTTTGCTTCAGTTTTGGTCCCAAAGAATCAGGCCAGTCTGTTGGTTCTCAGCTTTCCTTCCCTCTGACAGGAATTTGGGTAGGTGTTTTGTGGGTAGATGATCCAGTTCCATTGAGAATTAATTCTGAAACTAGCTGGGACTTTTCAACAGCAATCTAAAGCAAGAAGGAGACGGGAGTTACCCAGACTCGAAAGACCAGTGTTTATCAAACGTTTTTGACCACAACCCACAGTAAGAGAGACTTTTTATATCAGGACCCTGTATACATACATGTATGTATATGCATGCGCATAAAACTGAAATAAAAGTTTCACAAAATAATACTCTTATTGCAGGTGATATACTCTATTTTCTGTTATATTCTATTTCATTAAAAAATAATTCTTGTCTTGGCCCACTTTACTGATTTCATGACCTACAAGTGGGCTGGAAGGCCCAGTTTGAGAAACCCTGTACAGATCACCTTTTTCCGCCAGGCCTGGGTCTCAGGCTCTGATCTCTGGAACCTTTGTGTTCCTCAGTCACTTTCCTCCTAGGACTCTCAGCAGTGGAACAGACATCCGGGCTAGGAAACCCCATGGGCAGGAGTCTGCCTGGGCTGAAAACTTGGCTTACTTTCAAAGGATTTATGTGTTTTGGCTTTTTCTGGCTTTCTGAGCAGCTATCCAAGGGGAAAAAGGCAGTTTCCTTTGGCTCTGTGGAGGGGGAGGAGCAGGGAAAAAACACTCAGGGGCATCAGCTGGTTTTTATTTTATGTTCTAACTCAAACCAGCTTCCTGTTTGCATGGAGGTTTGGGGCTGAGCTCCACTTTCAAAGGATCTTGAGAGTCCAGAGCTCCTGCCAGGCCTCTAACATCTAGGCTTATTCTGCAAGGCTCCAGCACGATGGATTTTATAAACTGACTCTCTGCCTCTCATAACCTTCTCCATATCTTCTCTTTCCAAAAAGGTGTTACAGCTTCCATCTACCCTAGAAAATGGAGACAAACCTGACAAAACCCCTGCAAACACACCACGGTCTATTTATTTATTTTTTTTTTTGGTGAGGAAGACCGGCCCTGAGCTAAGATCTATGCCAATCTCCCTCTATTTATTGTATATGGGACGCCACCACAGCATGGCTTAATGAGCGGTGTGTAGGTCTGTGTCCGGGATCCAAATCTGTGAACCCCAGGCTGCCAAAGAGGAGGGTATGAACTTAACCACTACGCCACCAGGCGGGTCCAACACAGCACAGTCTAAATGCACCCAAGTTCATGTGGTGGTGTGCTGGAGCCAGCTCATGAGAGCTGATTGTGCACATCTTTTCCCATCTCCACATTCAGTAATAGTACCTTGGTAGCTTGAAATTACCACAGTGGGAGTATTTACACCATGGAAATCAGAAACGCTACAAATCAGGGGCCCTTTTTTTCCCTTCAGAGAGGCCAAACACTTACCAATACACCACTGAGTTCAAGCCACTATCGCCTCTCCCTAGGACTATGGCTGTACCTCCCATGTGTTCTCTGGTTCAGGCCTTGCTCCCATAGTCTTTTCCTCAACATGGCAGGCCACATTGATTCTTTTAAAATATACATGAGATCATGTCATTACTCTGCTCAAAAGCCTCCAACGGATTCCCATCCTTAAGTTCAAATCCAAATACTTTACCCTGGTTTACAAGGCCCTAAATCATCTGGCCTCTGGCTACCTCTCTGACCTCATTTTCTACACTCTTCCCCTCACTTACTCCACCTCAACCATCCTGGCTGCCTTAAGCACCTCAAGCAGATTCTAGCCTCAGATCCTTTGCATATGCTATTCCTTTGACTAAAATGCTCTTCCCTCAACTATTCACATGGCTAATTCACTCAGCTCTTTGCTCAAAACTTTCCTCCTCAGATAGGCTTTCCAGACCAAGCTTTACTGCTATCACTCCACACTCAACTCACCCTGCTTTATTTTTCTTCATAGCACTTAGAGTCAAGTAGTGACCTGACATTAATTATATCTCTGTCCACATACTTACTGTTTTCTCCATCAGAAAATGAGCTCCTTGAGAGCAAGACCAGAGTTGCTACCCCTCACTGATATATCCCTAGTGCTTTAAACAGCGCCTGGCACACAATGGGCACTTAATAAATATTTGATGGATAAGTGAATGCATGGCAGAGACTTCAGGAACAGTGAAAGATCAGACATGAGAAGCCCAAGAAAACTGGGGTATTTCAGGCCAGTAGAGGACAAGCACAAACAGAGCTTAATGGTACAGGTAACATTTTGTTTCTTAAGCTGATGGTGGGCACACAATTGTTCACACTATTATTTCATATGTCTTTATTGTATGTCTTAAATATTGCATAGTAAATGCTAAAAAGAGAGAAAAGATACGGTCCAGGATGTGGTGTGGGGCTCAGTATCTCATGAGTAACATCCTTCTATAATTCACAACCCTGACTTCTCTCTTTATGCTCAAGCTGTTTCACTGACACTCACTGACCCAGCAGTGCTGGGGGGAAAGGGTACAAAAAACACAAGAATATGTCTTTGTATTTGATTTAGGTTTCTCATTTAAGTGCTTATAAGGCTGCACATTTTTATGATGCTCTGACAGGCCACTTCCAGTGGAAGCTTTCATGAACCACTGTGCACATTCCTTATCCTGACTGCAAGCATGGCAGCCGGTGATGAGATAAGGCCCCCTCAGCCTGGGTCCCTAAGTAACTCTGATGAATAGAGCCCCTGTGCTGACCCACACTGAATAT